CGAACACTCGCCTGCCAGCGCAAGTATCTGTAATCCATATGACCCACAAACAAAGATTTGGTAGTGAAGGCATACGGCTGGACCTCAACATCAGCACGGGTCACCTGTACACACATACTCCATTAAAACTTAATATTAAAAACAGAGCACACACTTGACATTTAACCTACAATCACAAGCACAAACAAACCTTGTTGATAAAGCTGGACTTGCCGACATTGGGGTAACCACACAGCAAGAGGGTTCTGGTGTTTGGGTCAATAGTGGGTAAACGGGACAGATGCTGCCGCACTATGATGAAATAAATATGCATTTATAATGTGCATCTAAAAGTTTTAAAATGATGTAATAGAGTTTGTGCTTATTTTTTTGCACATTTATGCTTTGAACAAAGCAGCCAAATATTTCTTCAGAAGTATATAATATACCATTTAGAAGTTGATCAAAAGTGACAGTAAAGATATTTAAATTGTTGCAAAAGATACCCATTTCAAATAAATGCTGATCTTTTGCACTTTCCATTCATCAAAGAATATTGAATGGTTTCCACATAAATATATTAAGCAGCACAATGGTTTTCAACAGTGATAATTATAAGAAATATTTCTTGAGCACCAAAGGATCATGTGACACTGAAGACTGGAGTAATGATGCTGAAAATTCAGCTTTGCCATCACAAGAATGAATTACATTTTAAAATATATTAAAATAAAAATATTTTTAAATTACAATTTCACAATGTTACTGTTTTTAATGTATTTTTGATCAAATAAATGCAGCCTTGGTAAGCATAAGAGTTAGTGTTTTAAAAAACATTTAAAAATTCTTACAGACCCCAAACGTTTGAGCACTACAGTATAAACATTTAAATTCAATGATTCCGCATCTGTATGACATAATCTGGCCACGGTCTATGTTTCAGTTTACCAAAAAATTGTCTTATGTTGGAAAGTATCTGTGGATGCGTGTAAGTGTTTGCACCTTGTTCTAAATACTCCAGACTCTGTTTCTGTCGCTTTAAGATGGTGCACATGCGACCCAGTGCGGCCCGTTTCAGCTGCTTGCAACGATACAGCGAGTCTCCATACTTCATCAGTCGCACATAATCTTTAGCAACACTACAAATGCACAGACATACAGTTTAACCCAGTTAAATGAACTGCAAATACCCACAGATGAGACAAAAAACAGCCAACTTATTTAATTAAACCAGCCACAAATTAATGCTAAAAGTAATGTGCATGATGTTGATAAATTCAACAGACTCACTTGTCAATAAGGTTTTTGGCGATGTTGATCTGACCCAAAGCCAGTTTATAATGATCTTTATCATACAGCACATTCATCAGATCAGCATAGAAGGGGTGAATGTCCTGAAACACACACATTGGAAGTCATTTATCTACTAAAAAAAGGGATCTTTAAAGGGTTAGTTCACCCAAAAATGAAAATTAGGCTGCATTTTACTCACCCCCGAGGCATCCTAGCTGTATATGACTTTCTTCTTTCAGACGAATCCAGTCGGAGTTATATTAAAAATTGTCTTTAAACTTTCAAACTGTTCATGGCACTCAGCGGGTGTTGCATTGCTTCGGTCCAAAAGAACTTAAATAAAAATCGTCCATCCATAAAAATTTTTTTTTAAAAAAGTCTCTCGCACGGTTCCGGGGGGTGAACAAAGGTCTCCTGTAGTGAATCGATGCGTTTTTGTAGAAAGAAAAATATCCATATTCAAAACGTAATAATCACTTTAATGCAGCTTGCGCCAACAGTTGTACACAGAAGCAGTTCCGGGAGCATGACGTATGAGGTCAGTGCTGTGCATGCGCCAGTGAGTCTCGTGAAAGCCAACGTTTGTTTACAGTAGGGGTGCTCCGATCAGTTTTTTTTAGGCCGCTCACCGATCGCCGATCACAGAAAGCAGTATCTGCCGATACCGATCACCGATACCGATCTTTTTAAAGCCTTCTTTTTT